CTTTAGTTTTAAAATACGCAATAGGTAAGTAAGTAAGGTATTGCTGCGGAGCAAGATTTTAACTAAATAAGAACGAAGTAATGCAAGCAACCTCGAAGACACCATAACAAAGCAAATTTATAGAATAGTTGGAGCATTGAGCATTATAATAACCACGAGAACTAAACTGCTCTAATAAATGTGGCAAATTTCTTAGAAATTGGATCATCGAAAGCTAATGGCTCAACTTAAGAAAGCCAGGAACATAAATTATATTCAGAACTGAATATTATCTGAGACGCATTCTAGGAATAATAGCTGCCCCGAAATACCTGAAAGAAAATGTTCATAAGATGCAACACTTGGATTGATGTGTGAATGTAGGCACATTGGTCGTCAAGGGAAGTAAAGTTGCTCCTAAAGAAGGGACGAACACCTTCCCCTTCTTCAAAGTGAGGTTGTTGTAGGGCCACTCACACATTCGTGACTCTTCTTGAAAGGTGACTGTTCCGTCCTCCGCAAAACCCCAGCGACTCAGCTAATTCGCGATTTATTATCTAAATACAGTATCCTGCATCAGCATTGGCCAATTTGCGATTTATTTCCTACAAATTGAATATATATATATTCGTTCATATGGAAACATTCCCTACCCATATGGAAACATCAACACATTCATTTCAAAATGAAAAATTTCAGGCGTTTAATCTGTGTTATCTGTTTCATAATAACAAAGGAAAGACGAATAGGAAAATGTCTCAGGCAGTTTCATATTACAGATTTTAATGTTACATATTATAGGTAACGTACACTGTTGTTCCTGACGAAGATTTTGTATGTAAGAAGTTTTTTTACAAATTTGAAATTGCTGCCGTGAATACTAATACCGCGTGTGTTAGTACTCAATTTACTGGACAAAATTGTAGGCTTTTTCCAAACCGAGGCAGACGATTATCAGGACTAGGTGGTTGACAAATGCTTCGCATACATTGGTTTCAAATCAAATAAGTGGTCGTGGACGGAATGAAACTAGAGGGAACTTCTTTTACATTCAGAAATTAGTTTTTGATCTTCCTGATACCTCCAGTGTCTATAGTTGGTGAATTCTTTAATCAGTTTTCGTATAGTTTTGAGCAGTGTGATCGATTGGCAACTGCTTTAGGATTCCTATTGCTTATTTTCATTTGACGGGAAAGATCCTTTGTTTCGGAATGGTGTTGAAAAGGGGCAGTTGCATAAAAGAATGTTTTGTATTGCGTTAGTCCAGGGCTAGAGTTTAAGCGCATGATTGCGTTTGTTACGATGGAGATAGTCTGATTCTATTCTTCATTTGTTAGTTAGGAATTCCTGTGTGAAGTTTTTACTGTAATTTCCTTGCAGAAATGTTACTAGTGTCGCGTCGCGATTGAATTTCGGGGAAATTCTGACGGGTTATGAGTCCGTCTTGGTACCTCGTTTCGTTGCCTGTCAAATTAATATCGAACACCTGTTTCAATTATCTGGAGCAAAAGGAAGATCTCGGCTGAAGTCGGACGTTAAATTCTGGTACGACGATAGAAATAGAACTCGATATCTTCGTGGAACTGCTCTCTTTGAGGTCTCGATCGGTAGTGACGGACTGCTTTTCTTGAGGTTATGTTTGGAAGTGTCTTATGGAGTTCCCTAAAATCAGGGTTAGGAAAATCCGTAAATTCGCAAGAGAGATATATACCTCCTTATTGACTAATTGGACTAAGGGCACATTCTTGGTCCCCAAATCGTTCACCTTGAAGGAAGAGAAGGACCTCCCAAATGAAGACGATGGTGGAAGGAACCCTGTGCTTCGAGGTGATGTGCACGAGCTGATGACCCTTCTGAATGTGCCGCTTAGGGTTCACCCGCCATTTATGGCTCTTGGTTATGGACAGATGATGCTGACGTATGCGGTCCACGTGGAACCCCAGGCCTATTGCTAGCCAAGTCTTAAGTGCCATCGCCTAATTTTGTTAAATTAGGGTTTTCATTGATTCTCGTGTTCAGCGGAAGTATATAAAATAAAGGAAAATGTTTTCAAACATGCAGAAGGCATGGATGTGAAAATTCCGATGCTAAATTGTTTTGATCCTACCAGACTTGGCTGTTGGAAGATCGTAACGGTATCTTCCACGACATCCTTGTTCCATAACGGAACTAGCATGCCAAAGATTTCATTCAAGTCTGCAGAATTTGTGTCGCCTTTTTTGGTTACAGCAGCTATCCTATGGTGAAAACTTGAGCCTTGAATCTCTCTTATATTATCCCTGATAGTTGTGATTGACTTTTTTAAATTCGAAGATGAATTGAGCCTTATCCATGAATGCCATTTGCTATCTTTAATAGTATTGCGAGTTATGGCCCGATTTTATCTGAAAGTAGTGAAATTTTTGCTGGAATTGGACTTTTTATATTTGCTGAAAACATATTTAGTCTGTCACGGTCCGCAGGCAATGCTCATTCCACCATGGGTTGCATTTGGTTATAAGAATACCTGTGCTACATACCTTGAGGTACAAATTTCAGTGCAATTGGGATAGTTTCAGGGAATTGTTATAGTGCCTTGTTTAATGTACTTGCACTTAGTAAGTTCAGTTCTAGAAGATGTGGAGTTGACTTACATTTAGTAATTTTTAAATATTGTTTCACGATACCTTCCCAAAATCTCTTGACGTAACTTGCTCTTTGCATTTTTGTAAATTATGTCTACATAATACAAGTGGCATGTTAGTTCCGTGGGATAATGATTACCGGTTATGTGATCTTATGTATTCCATGTGATATTATGAGAAATTCTTGGGCTCTACTACGATATGCCAAATGCATTCATATACTCAGTCGCCGTAGAGAAGTATATTTGTTATTGGCATTTTGAATGTTGATATAAGTGCTGCTAATTCCTTTTTTGATTTTCGTTTCATATTTGTCGTTCTTATGAGATTCCCACATAGAAAAGTAAGGAGCCATTGAAGTTGCCATGTATAATATAAAGAAGTGAAAGTTGTTTTATTACATGAGTGACTTAGTTTGCATCTGGAATTTGACTGTTTAGGGGGTAGGCGCTACATATATGTGAGTTAATACGTAACGTAACTTAGGAACGGTCAATTCAAGGTTTGTTGTTATCGGAAATGCTTGTTTGATTATAACGCCTTTTATTATCTGGTTAAAACAGCTCTAGTGTATTTGGTATTATACAACTTGCCAGAATACTCGTGCTTATAATTTATTTGTTGTGAATAAGTTATTTGTGTATGAATTTCGTTGATTAATAATTGTAGGTTCTTAAGTTGGCTACAGAAAGCATTAAGGTTTCACCGAATTATGTGGAGATAGATGGTGCACTTTATAATTATATGTGGTTTCTGTGACTACTCATATTGCTGTTCTGAGAACTAGACCGGAAGAGACCGGCCTGAATGAATTTTTTAAATGGAGATACATGACGAAGTGACGCTTTCCACTTTTCCTTCTTAGGCGGCGGTGTCTATTTCTTGTGCATCTGTCGTTTATTAGAGTGCAGATGCGTCCAAGTATATAGATCAAGCATTTTAGGTCTACCGTATATTATTTGGCAATCCCGATTGAAATATCAGTGCCAACTGAAATATTCAAAAGCTCTAGAGCTATGGGTAATTAAAAGCAACCTTGTTTCATGTTTCTTTAACTGTGGTGGGAATCTCATCTGTCGTCTAACGCTGGTGCTCGCCGGACATGTTTACTTCAGTAAGTGCCTGCACAAAGTAGGACGAGATGCGATAGCACATTGCCATTATATCAAGCCCGAGATAGACAGGGCGCAATATACGTTGGAAGAGTGCCATCATTCCACAGATGGCATTATACGTTCCAGGAGCGTTGGTGCAGCGTGTTTATGTCCCTACCGTTGACTGACTCCACTGACACTCCCTTTGTCACAGGCAGCGCCCGCTTTGGGCAAAGGACGTCGAAGATCGCCTGCGCGCAATAGCGATACCTAGTGAGGTAGGGTATGGCAGCAGTTGTCGAAGTGGATGGAAATTATGTCGTTGCAAGGTAGCCAATCAAACCGAATAGCGGTGGGTTCGATAATTTTTGCTACAGCGTGCACGTTGTCCGTAATTATGAGATCTATGGCAGTTCTCTGTTTCCAGATAAAGTATCTGATATTGCTATTGCATAAGCCTTGTTGAAATTAATATACATAATTCATACCTCCATTTAAGATGAACAGATTTATAGATTGACCTAGTTTCTAGGTATACCTGTTGAATATAGGAAACTGAAACCTTCAACTTTCGAGTACTTTAATTTAAAAAGGATATTTTTTCTTGTACTTAAGAAAATATATCGCACAGTACATTCGTATATAATTAAATACATCTCTCTGGTCATTAATGTATTAAGGGCATTACGGAGTCAACTATATGAAAGATTGTGGTAAGACAAAGTAAATACTTCATTGTAAAATATTACTATGAAGACGAAATTAATGATATTTTTATACGCTTCAGTAATGTACAAGCGTGTTTAGGCGCTAGCTCAAACAGTGTTATACATAAAATGTCTTAAATATAATTTGTCAAAAATGTATATGATAAATAATTGAAGCAATTGTCTAAAGTTTAAGAATAGTGAGGGTATTGATAAATCTTCTGACAGTTTGAAACACAATATCCGCATGGACACGGAATTATTCAGAGAAATAGAAGTACCTATTAATTGTATGATACTAAGCACTTACTGAGATCTTATATTTGAACGGAACTACTAATTTTGAAAGAAATTTCTAATTTGGGAGCATAGAAGGACTGAGACAATATGAAAAAAGAAATTTTTTAAACATATGCAATATGTACTGGAATGTAGAAATGTATTACGTATTATAAAACAAATGTATTGTGTATTATAAGAAATATAAACCTTTATATATTATGCTTCTATGAAATTTAGACCGCCCATGACGAAGCTAATTAGTTCGTATAATCTTACTTCGGACGTAGCTTTAGCATCAGAATACTGGAACTCACCTCCAGAAACACGACATTTCAATTTTATTTCGCCACCTTCTTCGTAAGGACCTGCTACAGTTGGCACAGATGTTCCTTGTTCATCAATGATACTTGGTTTATTTGGCGGCACTGTAATAAAGAAAAGTGAATAAAATTATTGATTATTAGACTAATAGCTTGTATTCCTATTTCACTGTTCATTACATTTTTTAGGAAACGTTATTGATAATAATACTGTCTCCCAATCAAAGCCTATATCAATGATGGATATTACTTTTATGAGTGATTGTATCCTTTTCTTCAATACAGGTGTATTCAAGACGCAACATAATTGAATGTACAGAGATATGGATTACTGTAAGGAGTTAAGAAACTAATTATCATGACAGTATATGGACAAGGAAAATGTAGTTAGTTTAACATGTATGTATCTAAGTATATATTCTTTTCAGTCCGTTTGTCCTTAAAATCGGTTTTAATTTTTTTTCTCTCATTGTATTTAACGTATGCTTCTGAATGTTATACATTTTATATAATACTTTGCTTTGCCGCATATCTGTTTTTATCTTAACTATGCAAGTTTCCCCCTTATGTTCATATAACAAGCAACTTCTTTCACTTCATTTCGTGTTTTTATGTTTGACTTATTGTTCTTCTCCTTCTGGGTCAACGTTAGCTCTTCTTCCCTCTCCTTACCTCCTTTTTTTTACTGTTCCTTCCCCTTTTTATTCATTTAAGCTATTTTACTGCTCCTTTCTTGCCTTCTTCGGTTGTAATTCAGCATCTCTTCCTGATTTGCACTTATTGTCTCCATCCTTACAATATTCCTAATGCTCTCGTGTCTCTCCCCATCCTCGAGTGGACATTGTGAGTGTGTTGTATAACAATCGTATATTTATTAAGGAATTATAAATTATACACCTCTTGTAACGTAATTGATCACTTTCGCGTTTCTTTTAACAAACTCAACTTTCTTATAAGGTATCAACTCTGATCCATAGCAACTGCAAAACACCAAGCATTCTAGATCTTTCACTCGCACTTCTAAAAACATACATATCTACATTCGTGCCATTACTCAACCTCACCCATTTGCATTCACACTAATGAGACCAAATCCACACTCTCCCCCTTGGCTTTATTTATTCTTCAGCATTCATAAAGCCCTTTACAATTTTTAGTAATGTGTGTCCACTTAACGCTTTCGTCAAACAATCAGCCAACATTCTCTCTTTTGGAACATGCATTACTTTTATTGAATACTTTTTCACAGTCTCTTTAACAAAATGACATTTCCTATACAACAATTATGTTCTTGTTCTTAAATTACCGCCGTTCGCTATTTTACAGCGTTTAAATTGTCACACTTCAATTTTTTACAATTATCATTGCATACACCTATTTCAGCCAATATTTCACTAAACCGAATCAATCCTTTCATCGCATCCATCAACGAACCTAACTCGCTTTCGGTCGTTGATAACGCCACAGTTCCATGTTTCTTACTTTTCTAATGAATCAGGTCACCGTTTCTATACAGAAGTAGTTCGCTAAGTGATTTTGCGTCTCTGGTACAATCACATGAAGCATCCGTTTCGCATCTTATACTTCTCATCGAACTCTCTTTTCCATATTGAATCCTGTAATTAATTGTCCCTTTTAAGTATCTCAAAATACGCTTCTAGGCCCCTAAATGTATTAATTTTGGACATTTGCTAAATTGAGACAGACAACTAAGTGCATATGCTATGCCCGGTCTGGTGGCGACACTTAAATACATTAACCTTTCCAGCAACTCTTGGTATATTTTTTTATCGCACATCTGGCTCTCTTGTTCTTCTCCAAATTTTTGATTTGTATCCACTCACCTTATTACAATCAATCATACCATACAATTTTAATAAATTTTCAATGTATCCTTTTTGACTAATTAATATTTGTCCATCTTTCTGCTCTATTTCCATCCCGAGAACTCGTTTTGCTTCGTTTAATCCTTTTAGTTCGATATATTTCTTAGTTCTCCCATGTACCTTCTATCGAATGAGTCTGCGCTACTCACCACAATCATATCATCAACGCGTACTCCGCAATACAAAATGTGTTGCTCTTGATCAACATGAAACAAACATGGATTAAATGTGCATTGTTTCAAGCCAATTTGTAAAAGGGTATAGGTCAGATATGTATTCCAGCAAAGATTTGCCTGTTTTAAACCATATATACTTTTTTTAATTTGCATACATGCCCAGAATCGTTTTTAAAACCGTTGGATACCTCCATGTATATCTCCTCCTCCAACGGTCCGTGTAAGAAAGCAGTCTTCACGTCGTACATCTTCCGTTTCTTTTTGTGTTCAGCACATAAACTGAACAGCAATCTGACCGTTTCCATTCGAATCGTTCGTGAAAAAGTTTCTTCATAATCGGAACCAGACCCCAGAGCACATCCTAGAGCCACTAGTCGTGCCTTGCATTTCTCCCGTAATCTAATAGGATCAACCTTTTCAGAAAAAATCCGTTTATATCTTATTATCCTTTTGCCTTTTAGACGATTAACCAAATCCCAAACATGGTGTTGATCCCATTTCTTCTTTCATAGCATTTTTCCTATGTTTCCATTCAGATGATCGTTGTGCTTCTGTGCCAGTAGTTGGAATTCTTTTATCGCTACATTTCATTTCCCTCTCTTCCTTAATTCTTGATGATCTCCTCACACCTCCTTCATTGTCTAGTCTTCCTTCCTCTCGTTCTTTTAAGTATCGTCTTACCTTCATAACTTCTTTAGTTACATTCCTCGGTTTCCCAACTCATGTCATTGTGGTCGGTTCTTCTTGTCCCATGTTAATTTCTTGACTCGCCCATTCTGTATCATTTTCGTCATTTACCATTTCTTCTCTCGCGTCGTCATAATCACTCTCTTTTCCTTCACTCGTTATTTCTTCCTCTCTCATATTTGTATCAATCCTTTTTCTCTCATTTGTTTCACTAATATCATGTTCTTCATCTTCTTCTTCCTGTGGATTTAATCCAATCGCAATTAAATCCCTTTGATCGTCATTCTCAATGTTTTCTTTTTGTTCACAAACTAACAGATCCGATCCATTCCTTTCTTCATTAAATCTCACGTCGCAGTCACATACAATAAGTTTTGTTTCCGTTGTAGTCAAAAAATGCCTCTTTATCTTCGATTGAAGTTTTGTCCTTGTTCCTCTCTTATCGAGTACATATGCCATACATCCGAACATTCTCATATGTTTTACATTAGGTAGTTCTTGATACCACACTTCGTATGGTGCTTTTCCAAATACCCGCGACTTTATTCTATTTCGTGTATATACAGCAGTACTTGCTGCTTCACCCCAAATTCTCAAATCTAATTTTGAATCCGCCAGCATTGTTCTAGTAGTTTCAATAATTGTTTGATTACCTCTCTCGGCCACTCCGTCGCTTGGCGGAATCATTGGAGGACTCAGCTCATGTGCAATGCCTTTCTCTTCAAACCATTTTTTTAAACTCCTTCCCATAAACTCACCACCATTGTCAGATCATATTCTCTTTAATTTTGATGCAGTTTGATTTTCCTAGATCGTGATCAGTATTTTAACTTTCTCGGTACCTTGAATTTTATTATTCAATAATCGCACAAACTTCATTCTAGAAAAATCGTGTATTATTGTCAAGATGTAGTTTTTTTTATGGTTTAATTGGGCCAATTAATTCTGCACGCCATAATTCCATGATCCGTTTTGTTCTTATACCTTCCAATCTCCGATGTGAATTTTTACACGCTTTACCTTTCGTACACGATTCGCATTCCCTTTTCCAATTGTTGGTCATACCTGTTCCCAGATATTCTCTCTTCATTTCTTTCATTATTTCTTTATTTTCGCATTCCATTCTTCTGTGCCATATATCTTCTTCTATTAATACTGCTGCACTTGTCTCATTTGCTAAAAAAAGATCTAACACAATATGCGTTAATAATTCTCACAGTAGTCATTACTATGTTTCCAGGTTCTTTGTATATTATCGCGCCGAATCTATTAAAATTTACTTTTTACCCTTTGTCTGTTATCTTGGCAACGGAAAGAAGATTTGTATTTAAATCCAGAGAGAGAATTTTTACCGCTGGATTGTCTCACAATGACGTCGCTAATACCTTTAGAAATTAACATTTTTCCCTCTTTATCTGCGAGAATTTTCTGTCTCCTTTCTTCAATTATATCATTACACATAAATTCATTTTGGGTCATAAGACTGGTAGATCCAGTGACCAATAACCATAAATGGTATCTCTTACCCTCACGCTCACCTTTTTTCCCTTCACAGAACCTACTCACACCATGAAATGCACTATTAATTTCTCTTGCTTTCATTGTTGCTTCATCACTTGTTCTCATTGAAATTTCATCTCTTACTAAGCGTTGTCTTGTATATTTTCCTTGACTTTCTCGCTGAATAGTCCGTCCTCTTCCTCTTCTTGCTGGTGGTACAATCTGTTTTGATTTCCAACAGTTTGCAGCAGTGTGACTGTGTCCTTGACAATTAAAGCAACGTTGGTTACTCTTACACTCCACTGCCATGTGTCCTTTCAATCCACGGTTGTAACAGCAATTGTCGCTTTTGAATTTTTCCCGTATTTTCCTTACTGATTAGCGGCTTGTAAATGATTTTCCTTCTTTTTTTCGCATTTCTTTCCTTTGCTCTTCCTGTTTTAGAGCAAATCTAATATCATTTATTGTTAAGTTCTTTGTATATCTAAAATTCTAACATTTGAATCTTATTCATATTGAAGTCTTCCCAAAATATACATTTTTAGTTCAAAGTCCACTATATTCTTGCCAAGCTGAATACGTTGGTTTGCTATGTCTTCCGCTTTGCTTATAAACATATCAACGGTTTCGTTGTTCTCCATTTTTAAATTCGTTAGTTGATTGAGTGTTCTTGCCTTTAGCTCTTCTGTTTCAGCCGTCATGTCTAATTTTATCTTTGTCCACAATTTATTGGCAATTTCTCCACCGCTATACTTCAATATTTATCTTTACTCATGGTATTAATCATCACTGTTCTAGCTGTATAGTTATCGTCATCCCGCTCATTCCATTCTTTCAATTTCTTTTCATATTCGGT